GGTAGCCCAGGCTGGCCTCGAACTCACAGAAATCCGCCTGGCTCTGCCTCCCGAGTGCTGGGATTAAAGGCGTGCGCCACCACCGCCCGGCGGTTTGTTACTTTCTACTTTTATTTTTTGAGCAGTCTCTTACCTGAACCTGGAGCTCAGTGTCTTGGCTAGGCTGGCTGTGGGCTTCAGGATGCTCCTGTGTCCTTTGCCCCACGCATTGAGGTTATTGACATGTGCTGCCATGTCTGTTTATTTAGTGTTTTTTTTTTTTTAATATTTTTATTCTTTAAGTATTTCTTGAATGCATATAATGTAGTTTAATCATATTCACCTTCCCATTTCCACTCACTCTTCTAATTCCTCCCAGATTATTCCCTACCCCCTCTCAACTTTATGTTCCTGCTTTTTTTCTTTTAAAAATAACCCACTGTGTTCAATTTGTGTTTCAAATATGTTTGCTCATGGGTGTGAAGCCATCAACTAAGCATGGCCAGTCTACCAGGGACCATTTCCTTAAAGAAAACTGACTGTCCCTCCTCCAGAAGTCACCAGCTTGTCCATTAGCTATGGGTGGGGGCGTGGGAGCCATTTTCCATCCTGTGATGGGATGTTGACTTCTGACCTTATGCAGGCAACAGCAGCTCCTGTCTGTGAGTTCGTGAGTTCGGTGTCCTGTACTGTTGAGAAGATACTCTTTCAGGAACTGTTGCCCATTGAGCCATCTTTCTGGCCCATTCCTTTTAATTTTTATTTTAGCTTCTATATTTAAATCAGTATGTTCATTTTAAGTTAATGTTTGTTTTGATTTTTTTTTTTAATTGGGATACCCAGTTGACCGCAGCATTGCATAAAGACTTTGTTCTCAAGCCGGGCGGTGGTGGCGCACGCCTTTAATCCCAGCACTCGGGAGGCAGAGCCAGGCGGATCTCTGTGAGTTCGAGGCCAGCCTGGGCTACCAAGTGAGCTCCAGGAAAGGCGCAAAGCTACACAGAGAAACCCTGTCTCGAAAAAACCAAAAAAAAAAAAAAAAAAAAAAAAAAAAAAAAAGACTTTGTTCTCTCTCCCCCTCTGGATGCTTTGTTCGGCCCCTTGTCTTCATTTGTGTGTGGGTCAGCTCGTGGGCTGCGCTCTCTGTTGATCTGTATCTCTTTGACCTGTACTTTCAATGTCTAGCATCTGAAATTTGGCATTGCTCAATTGTTTGACAAAGTGAGGTTTTTATATAAATCTTTGATAACTAATATTCCATGGAACTACATGGTTTGCTCTATGATAATGAACTTCGTAACCTTTCCATCTTCTTAGACTGAGTAGTAGCTTGTAACCATTTTATCTGGGACCTAGAGTCGTGGATGCAGACTGTGAGCTTTATTGGCAACCCATTTTTGAGGTTGATTTCTCTGGAGGAACTCCTTTACTTTTGGCCTTCTGCTTTAACCTGACCAGCTTTCTTCAGCAAGCTTAGGCAGCCTAGCTAATCATTTACCTGAATTAGAAATGCATTATATTCTCAGCTTGCTGTTGTAAACTGTAGCTGTTTCATAGTCTTCATTCATTTCATCTATGTAGATAATTATTTGTTAAGTATTTAAGGTCTTCTTTTTTGTTTGTTAGCTATTCTGCTAGAATACAAAGTTAAGAGCTGCCCCTATAAGAGCTTATTGCAGTGGAGGGAGACCAGAAGGCCAAGAAGTAGAGCAGAAACGGGGTCTGCAGACTAGACAGTGGTCTGTGATGTGTAAAGCACGTAGCCTGGTCGGTGAGCTCTTAGTACAGCCTGCACCTAAAAAATGGGTGACACAGATAGAGGCAAAAGAGAAAATTGAAGGTCAGGTCTTGAAGTGGTAGGATATTGAATTTAATTAAAAATGCTAATGAAAAAGATGAGGTTAGCATAGGGATGTTATTATTCCTTTTAGTTTAAAGCTAATTGGAAACCTTGTAGATAGGAATAATAGATTTCTACAGAAATTGTTTGCTCTGTTTTATGTGTAAGCACAATGATAGGTTTGCACAGTAAGGTCTGTTGTGTTACAAAGTCGAAACCAGTGGCTTGGCTTCTTTTACTTTACACTGAGTCAGAGTGAAGAGAGAGTAAACTCAGCGGAGTGTCTGTAGAGGCGTCAGTCACATTCTTCTCCCAAGTAGTCTTGCTGTGGGAGGACCCTTCTCTACGCTGTGAATGTACGTCCAGCCTCACAAAATGCTACAGCCAAGACTTGACAATATTCTAAATTTCCTCAGGGTGGGTCCCCATAAGATTACCAGTGCCCCCAGTCTGCAGGAAGTAGTCTAGAGAACTATGCCCAAGTTCCTAAAATATTATTGTTTATGAATGTTTTTATTTAAGGGGGGGTTGGCTATAAATTGTTATTGGTCATAGTCAATCTCTTTCTAAAGAAGAAAGGGGGATATGATATAGAAATGATGTGGGAAAAAGATGGATTATTATAATTAAGAAAACGGGTAGTTTATTGAATCCTAAGAAACAACTCTTATTCTCAATATACTTCACATTGGTGTGGTGGTATAGATTTTAGTTTATTGATACAAATTTAAAGTCAATTTTGTTATATTGTATGTGTATTTCTACTCTTGTTTAAGGTATTGTGTTTATACAGCTCACTTAAAAATGTAATGTATAATTAAAAAATACAGATTAATAGTCATCTGTAATAGTCAAACCTATAAACATGTTAGTTAGAGATATATTCCAAATAGATAGGTAATCTTCAAACACTTCAAAGACCTACGGAATATGGCATTTAAAATGTTTTAATAACTTAGAATTCTTTTGATGTGAGACCCATCTGTTCCTTGCAGTACAGATCTATTTCTAAGAGGATGATGGGTACTGAAGATACTCCATATGGAGTTTGTTTTCTTTGTGGCAAAACTGGCCTATTGTGTAAGAAACTGCTCTTGCTTCGACTGCTGACAGTAGCCCACTGTCCAGTTTGGACAAGCAGGGCACAAAAAAAAACCAACTGCCAAACCTTGCCAAGACAGAGTAGAACAGTCCTTCAAATTCTCCTGCTTCTGAAAAGGGTTTGTCAGATCTTCTAGGCCTATAGCCAAAGTTGGATGCCCCAATGTTGCAGAGAAACCTTGGGTGACTGTCCAGGCAGCCAGCTGTCTTGTCATTTCTTGCTTTTTTTGGAAGTTACTTGCCTGCACTCCCTGCTTACTCAGGTAATATTATTTTCCTTCTCAAGTCTTTGATGGAGTTGAAGACTAGATAATTATAGTTTCCTTCATTATGATAAAGGATAAATTAGATATAAAACTTTACTCTCACCAAGATAGGATAGATAATTGAATGTTTTCTCTGATTTTGTCAAATACAAATAGACTAGATATTGTAACTGTAATTCTTGCTTGATAACTGTTTTGTTATTTGTAATTTTACTATGTTAAAGTTAAAATCTTCCTTTTTGATTAGACAGAAAGGGGGAAATGCTCTGGAAGGAACCTTCTGTATACTGTGAATGTATGTTGCTCTCATGGATTGATAATGAAAGCTTATTTGGCCTGTAGCCAGGCGGAATAAGGCTGGGCAGGAGAACCAAACTAAGGATGATGGGAAGGAGAAAGACAGAGTCAGGAGATGGCAGTGAACCACCAGAGGAACAAGATGTAATAGAGAACAGGTAACGCCACGAAGCTACGTGGCAAAATATTGATTTTTGGGTTAAGTTGTAGGAGCTAGTTAGTAATAAGCCTGAACAATCGGCCAAATAGTTTGTAATTAATATTAAGCTTCTGAATGATTTTATAAAAGTGGCTGTGGGGCTGGGTGGTACAGAAAAGCCTCTGTTTACACAGTTTTCTTGAGTGAACAAGAAGTTGACTATAGTAAAGATGCATAGTAAACAGTAACAGCATTATTAAGAGTACAGTGAACACAATATCATCAAACAGTTGTCTGAAAAGAGTTGTTGAATGTTTATGTAATATACGTAAACAGTCTACTTAAAATTAAGCCATACAGTTATTTACAATATAAATTGTTTTGAGTTGTTAAGTACACTAAAGATTTCAGATTATATGAATTTGCTTTATAGATATTTGCCTGAATGTGAAAGATGGAGTAGGGACTGGACTGCAGAGGACTGCGGTAGAGGAGTTATCTTTCCTTAGGAAATTGCTTGAAGGTTCACTATTCTGTGTGTTTTTTCCATGTCAAAATTTGTGATAAACAAATGCAAATAGTTCAGTTCTTCTTAAGAGCCAGGTGAATAAAACTTGCCCAATTCTTTGTCTACGTAAGATTTTTGTTTGGAACCATTTCCTATGCTTTATTAATTTTGTTTTCAGTGACCAATTATTTATAGTGCTTGATGGGTGGTTTTCGTTGTTGTTTTGTTTGTTTGTGTGTTTGTTTGCTCATTCAAAGCAGTACTTTCAAGATAGGTGTGGGGCTGCACCAGTACTCAGAAAGCAGGAAGATCATAAGGTTGAAGCCAGAATGGGTCATAGAGTAAGACCAAAAGCAACAATACTTCTTTTGAGTACTTGCTGATTTGCTTTTATATTCATTGTGAATTACTTTTTCATTAGGTTATGCTTCCTCCTGGAGCCCAGCATTCTGATGAAAGAGGTGCTAAGGAAGTTATTCTTGATGATGATGAGTGTCCTTTACAAATCTTCAGGGAATGGCCAAGTGACAAAGGTAGAGGATTTCCTCAGTAGTCCACCTCTCAGATTTCTGCCAACTCTCGTTCATCGGATGACTTGGAAAATGTATGGGGGGTGAGGAGTGGGGGTTGGCTGCAGTTTGCCTGTCTTTTCATAAACTTGCTGGGCATTTCCTTGATGGTACTCTTGCCTGTGGAACCGTACTCAGCTCATTTGAGTGTCCTGTGCAGATGACATGGCGGGTGAAATGCCAGACTGTTAGCAGTGGAAGACCATTGTTATCGATGAGCTGTGAGACAATGTCCATACTGAGTATATGAGTTGTGCGGTATTTGAGCAAGTTTGTTAGGATAGGGAAAGTACCCTACAACCCTAAAGTTTGTCCAATAATACAGTCACTTCAGATATAGGTTGAGCAATATTTACTGGAAATGCTCAGAACCCAGAAGTGTTTGAGATTTCAGAACTTTTCAGACTTGAGTGTTTTTACCTTCATAATGAGATACTTTGAAGGTGGATACAAGTCTAAGCCTCCCCTTCTTTTGTGCTTGCCTTACACACCTAACCTGCGTGTAATTGAGTCCATACGTTTTCATGTATTGGTGTTTGACCTGCTCCCTGTTAGGAGGTTTGTTTTCATTGTATCATGTTGGAAATTGAAGCATTTTTGATTTCAGGTGTTTGGTTTAGGGATGTTCAACTTGTGATATGTGCATATTTGTCACTGTTCAGACATTTTCCCTATTTCAAGGCAGCAAAGTGTTTAAAGCTATGTTTTTGATGAAGTATAATTTCTAATGTTAAGATTAATACAGTTGACTTTCTAGGTGAGTATAGCATGAATATTAACAGGTCTTATTAATAAAAACAAACCTGGAGCCAGATATTGGGGTTAAAGCTGGAAGATCAGAGAAGCAGAACAAGCCACAGCTACCTCACCTGGCCAACTCCTCAGCTGATCCTGTTTCCTCAGACTGGAAGCCTCTGAGTCCTCACCCGAATGTATCTCAGCTGAACTGTTGCTAGAGGCCTAAAAGCTTAACCAGGCTAGTTCCTGGTCCTCACGCCTTATATACCTTTCTGCTTGCTGCCATCACTTCCTGGGATTAAAGGCGTGTGTCACCATGCCTAGCTGTGACTTGAACTCACAGAGATCCCAATGGATCTCTGCCTCCCAAGTGATAGGATTAAAGGCGTGTGTGCCACGATTTTCTGGCCTCTATATTTAGTGGCTGTTCTGTTCTCTGATCCCAGATAAGTTTATTGGGGTACACAATATTTTGGGGAACACAATACCACCACAGGTGAGTGCGTTTATATTAATGAAGACATAAAAATTCTGGTGGCACACGCCTTTAATCCCAGCACTTGGAAGGCAGAGGCAGGTGGATCTCTGTGAGTTCGAGGCCAGCCTGGTCTACAGAGCAAGATCCAGGAAGGGTGCAAAGCTACACAGAGAAACCCTGTTTTGAAAAACAAAACAAACAAACAAAAATCCTTCCTAATCTTATGTAATAATCATACTGCATTTGATAATTTAAAAATACAAAAAACTCTAAGAATAAGTGCATTTCTAGTTTTATTAAAATACTTAATTCTGCACTATTCTAGACAGTTATAAAAGTTGAGCCTCATTTTTGAAAGTTGTTTTGAATTTTGAGTTAATCATTTAAATTAAAAATCAGGTCAGCTGAGATGTTTGTGTATATGTATTTGTGTGTGAACATTGATATCTACAAGTGCAAGTTCATTTATTTTTAAACTAACATGCTGTTTACTAGCACATGCTGTCTTTTGATAGCTAGCTGTCAGTTAGAAATAATTCCTGCATGTTGCTTGTTTAGGGTTTTTCAGAGCCTAGGAGACTAGTTCATCCTTCACTGATAAGATTATCAATTAGGTGAGCCTTGCTCTTCTACTCCTTGGCAGATGTTATTAAAACATGTCTTCTTGGTAATGGGGGCGGGGCAGTGGTTGTTAGTCAGTGATCATCACCCCCCAGGTTTGCTCAGTTGTTAATTACCATTGTCACCGTTCTAGGGATTTTAGTCTTTCAATTGAAAAGGAGACCGCCGGACTACATCCCAAAGAAAATGAAGAAGCATGTTGAAGGGAAGCCGCTGAAGGGGAAGGATAGAGCTGACGGGTCTGGCTATGGTTCTGTTCTTCCTCCTGAGAAGCTACCCTACTTAGTAGAGTTAAGCCCAGGTGAGAAAGCTGGTAGGTCAGGAAATATATGTTTTTATCCTAAATGTTTCTGCTTTTAATGTATTATTTTTAAGTGTCCATTTACTTAAAAAGTTTAACATTCATAAAATTATGTTATTTTTTTTAAAAGCCAAAAATACTTAAGGCCACAGAATACATTAATTCATGCATAAAAATAAAGTTCACATGAACAAAAGTGAATCTAACACAGGCTTTAAAGTAATGAATATCATTTAAAAGTTTTAAGTAATAGTTACTTTTAAGAAAAACTTCCCAAAGTAACTTTAGTTACTAGTTCCAAGTTCATCTTCTAGGAACAAATTGAATTTTGCTCTTCCTGTAGCCAATCTGTGTGTATGTGTATGCGAGAGAGATTGTGCTATTATTTATGATGTATGTACAGTGTTCAAAAGGAATGTCCTTAGATTTAACGGTATGTCTTTGAAACCTCTTAGTAACTAGTAGGATGTTTTAAAATAACATCATAAATTCATATTCATATTAGCCTTCTAATTATATCACGTATAGAATTTTTACAGCTAAAGATGTCATAACTTAGTCACCAGATAGACAAATACACTGATATTTTTTTTAAGTGTTTCATATATACATACATCCCCATGTAGTATGTATTTGCATATATGTGCTCTACATGACATTTATCAGTCAGCTAAAATTACATCATTTCTAATTTAGCTAAGATGTGACCTGTATTATTGAATACTATGAAGATGTTCTATCCACCTCCTCCTAGTTAGGAACCAAAGTAAAAGCCAGTTAGTGATTATAAGAAAATAGCATAAAAAGAATGCATTACATAAATAATACATGCTTCCTTGGTTTTTAATGTTCATTTTTATTTCTAAGGTTGCTTAAGTTGCACTCAGCTGGCTATTAAAACTAACTAGAGGTTAGACTTGTTCTTTGTGGTCAAACAGTCTTAGGAGACAGCTGAGTTATGTTGGTGCAGAATAGAATAGCAATGTTTGAAAGCCATTGTACTGCACTGTGGCTGTGGCAGTGTGGTTCTAGGGGAAGAGTTTTATATTTAATTGTGCTTGAGGGCCTGTTTTCATTGCTAAGCAGTTTGTGAGGAACTTATCACTGCTGCTTTGTCCTCAGGTCTCTGACTGGGAAGTTCATCTTGAAGTTTTGTTTTTCACTGTAAATTGGAGACGTCCTTATGTTACTGTCTGTAATGTAAGGAAAGTATGGGTGCTTGTTTATCTGAAGGAAAGAAGAGCAACAGTTTTTAACTGAAAATTTATAGGCTCTTTTTCAAGTGTGGATCTGTTCATTAAAATCTTTGAGTTCGAGGCCAGCCTGGTCAACAAAGTGAGTTCCAGGAAAGGCACAAAACTACACAGAGAAACCCTGAATCGAAAAACAACAACAACAAAAAAAGTTGCATCAGAGCCAGGCAGTGGTGGCTCACACCATTAATCCCAGCACTCAGGAGGCAGAGGCAGGAGGATCTCTGTGAGTTGGAGGCAGACAGCCAGGGCTGCACAGAGAAACCCTGTCTTGGGGAGTGGGATGGGGAGGCTGCGTTGGTTGTAGAGCTTGCGTTCGACAGTTGAAGAGTCTTAGTTGTCAGCGGGTGACAGTGATTTTTAAGTCTAGAGTGGGAGACATTTTGAGAGCTAGTACGAGGCTGGATCAGACCTCATTCTGGCCTTAGAGATAGAACGATAACAACACCGATTAACCAACCTCATGTTCAAATGAGTGCTTCCATTTTGACTGCTTAGTTTTTACTTGTCTCTCAGTTAATCACATGCATAGAATATTTTATTTTTAAAACATGACTGACCCTGGATAAAGCAATTCTGTACTACTTTTCATCAAATACTAGCAGCAACATAATTACATCTTCACTAGTATGTTTCTTAGCACTCTTACCTTTGGGCAACGTTTATTGAAGTCCTTATATAGATAGACCAATGAATATGAATAAGACTGTGTCTGATGCCAGGTGATGAGCACAGGTCAGTGTCAGTGATTCTCCAGGCTCACACTCCCTTCCAGGTTCTCTGGGATGCTGGTAAGAGCTGCCTTCATTATTGCACAGGTATCCAAGATGAGGAAACATTACTTTTGTTCTAAAGCTGATGATTTTGATGACAGGTCTGAGTGCTAGAATAAGGTCTTTGTTGTATCAGAGCTATGTCATGAGACCTTTTTAGATCAGTATGCTGAGTGAATATTTTCCATTATGAGAAATATTCACGCATATTTGTAGCAGGAATCTTAAAAGTTCTTATTAATAAAATCAAACCTGAGGCCAGTTATTGGGGTGAATGCTGGAAGGTCAGAGAGACAGAACAAGCCACAGCTAACCTCACCTGGCCAACTTCTCAGCTGATCCTGTTTCCTCAGACTGGAAGCCTCTGTGTCCTCATATCCGAATGGCTCTCAGCTGAACTGTGCTGCTCAAAAGCCTGAAGCTTAACCAGCCAAATGCTTAACCAGGCCAAATGCTTCTAGTTCCTGGTCCTCACGCCTTATATATCTTTCTGCTTCCTGCCATCACTCCCTGGGATTAAAGGCGTGTGTCACCATGCCAGGCTGTTTCCAATGTGGCTTTGAACTCACAGAGATCCCAGATGGATTTCTGCCTCTGGAATGCTAGGATTAAAGGCGTGAGTGCCACCATTTTCTAGCCTAAGTATCCAGTGGCTTTTCTGTTCTCTGACCCCAGATAAGTTTATTAGTGTACACAATATTTTGGGGAACACAATACCACCACACATATTGATATGTTATGAATGGATGAGGACTATATTTCCACTAGGCACATTGTCAATCAAGTGTGTACCCTCAGTGTGGAAGACCTGCCAGGTATTGGCAGGAGTTGCTGAGGTGCAGGTGTATTTATAGTGTTACAGAAGAGTGGAAGCCAGGGTGCCGATTTTCTTGTGTTCTCTAAACAGAAGGAGCCAGCCAGGGCGGGTGGTAACCTCCTGTCAGTTAACTCACTGTTGGCACAAGCTGTCCTGCTGCCTGCTGACTCACCTGTTGTCCTGCTGTTTTCCTTAGTAGTCTGCACTGGTTCTAAAACACTGACTGGGGTCTACTGTAGTCTCACTGAAGCTCACCCTTTGCATCTCTTCTCCTCCTTCCCTCTCCCACCTGTTCTGCATGGTTTCTCTCCTGCTGATGCTGCCTTCACCTGGGTCCTGGCATGTCTCTTAATCCCAGGGAGAAGGAATCACTTTGCCTACTACAGCTATCACACTTACGAAGGTAATGCTCTGCTTAATACTACTTTTGTAATCGGCACTAACAGATCCTCTTAGGTGAACAATGTTGACTGAACAGACACTGTATGTGTAAGATGTATAACATGTTCTCTTTCTGTTCCATCTACTCAGTGCCTTGTGTCCTGAACCCAGATAATTTATTGGAAGCTTTTTTTTTTTTTTTTTTTTTTTTTTTTTTTTTTTTTTTTTTTTTGCTGCTTGCCTTTCCTGTGCTCACTCTGGAAAGTGAATGTAGGCAGAGGGTTGACAACAGAACTGTAGACTGCAAGCAAAGGGCCTTTAAGTGCTCTTGGGCTGTGGTATGGTTTGTGTCCCTTTCATACTTAGAGATCAGGCTAAGCATCCCTCACTCCAGATTTGAAATGTCTTAAGTGATGTGGAAACAGAAGGGAAAGTGCCTCATGGAATGAGTGAAGTTTCCTGTAGGCTGTGTTTTAAGCTGTATGTTATATTGTCATGGAATTCATGTTTAAATGTAGGTTCTAGCCCCAAGATATGTGGTATATTAAATATATGTGAATATCACAATATCTGGGGTAAAATGTCAATCTGAAACTTGACTAGGGCTCTGGTAGCTTATTGTGTCTGCCATGGGTCTTCTTAGGGCTGGTCTGAAGTGCTTTAGCTATCCTAATTTTCCACTGGAGAGGTGCTGTGGACAGTTGACTGTAGAGTGCTCCTGGGAGATGGAGGACAATAGGAATGGAGGCTGAGAGAGCACCGTAATACTTCTGCTTCCAGTTCAGAGCTGGAGGTGGGCTGCCCTGGGAGGGAGGCCAGAGGCACCCAGCTCTTCCTCCTTGCCTTCCTCCCTCAGCTTGGACTAGATGCTCTGTCGCCCACTTGTCCTGGAGCTATTAGATTCTTGTCTGTGGTTTTCTGTTCAAGTGATGTGGTAAGAAAGGAGGGACTGGGAGAGCAGCCCTGAGTCTGTTGGTGTCAAAATGTAATTTTTTTCTTTTTTGCTAGCTGCAGAAGAGTGTTCGTGTGAACACTGCTCCTAACAGATACGTCTTTGGTGTTCTTGTGGCTTTGACTCACATGGTTACTTACTTTGTTCCTTTGTAATTCATTTGTGGTGTTTGTGTGGCTGTATTTCATTACTTTCACTTTTAGTGTAACTGTTTGCTCTAGAACATTAATTATCAAAGAAGGCCAGTGTGTCCTAGCTACCAAGGAGCTTGAATTGATGGGGGCCTAGTCAGTGGGAATCTTTCTGATAATAAGGTTCCTGTGCTTTGAAGGTCAGGAAGGGCATGGTTTGTGAACTGCCTAGGACAGTCAAGTAAACACAGTAGTCAACATCCCAGGAGGAGAGGAGTCCATGTCCAGGAAAAGCCCACAAAGCTTTGATCTTGTTTTTGGACATGTTGTTGGCTCTAAACTTCTTTTCCTTCAGACTCAGTATCCGAAGTGCTGACATTAATCAAGCTAATCAGTGTTTAGCTTCTGTGATTTTGATGTCTCGTTCAGATCCAGAGTTTCTGAGAATAATTAGAGGTGAAGATATCCCAGCGTGAGGGGCAGCACAGACAGGCCCTTGTGGGGAGGTCATAGTAGGCATGTGTGTCCTGACGTACTGGAGTCTCATCCTACTTCACCCAGACGTTACAGATTTGATGATATTTCAGAAATAGAAGATTATGTCAGTAGAGTGTTACTTTGTGTATCCTAAAACTAAAGTTGGTTCTGGAGAGCTTAAGTATTTATGGAATCTTTTGTTCGTAAGAGTTCAGATTACATCACAGCTGGGAGACTTTAAGATTTAAAACAGTCTGTGTACATACCAGAGTCCTCCAAACTTCTGAACCTCTCATAGCCAACATCTGATTCCAGTGACAGGATTTGAGTAAAGGACTTGGACAGTTGTGAAACAAACTGGAGAGACTCACACTGGTTTTAAGGAGACCTTGCTTGGTGCGTCTGCAGCTCACACTGAGTGTGGCTGTGGTGAAGCTGAATTGTATGCTGATTCTTGTGTTCTGTGAGGCACTCTTGCCATGTGTTCACTCTGGAAACAGAGAGGGCTTCGGTGTAGTGTACACCTTTGTACAGATGGGATACAGTGGGTGAACGGGCGTGGGCTAGAGGCTGGCACTGCTGCTTCCTCTCCTCCTGCCCCTTACCCACCACCGCAGTGAGACGATAGCACTTGTGCTCCACGTTTTCTTTAAAGGACACAGAATTGGGTGGGCACAAAAGCATAGGTAATCTGGAGGAGTTGGGGGTGTGGTGTGAATATTATCAAGACATGTATGAAATTCTCAAAGAACAAATCAAAAACTAAAAAGCGAAAAAAGTTGTCCTTTCTGCCTTTAGTCCCAGTTCTTCTGAAGGGAGTTAAGCATTTCAGTAACATTTGTTTGTCAGTGGTGCACATTGGAACACTTGAGTTTAGACTGTGCTTCAGGAGGTCTGGTGAGCTGGGAGGGTTGCACAGTTTAAGCGTTGTTGTGCCCCCCATTGTACTGTGCTGTGAACTTAAGGGTGCATGGTGCTTCTGCCCCACAAAGGTTCTGGTTTGAAGTAATGGCTTCTGTCGTCTTACTCTGTATTCTCAATACAATTCCATCCTTGGAATCACCAAGGAAAGTCTAGGGTAGTGTGCTTGGGAAAGAAGTATAATCAAAAAGTGTTGTGATTAATGACGCTTAACATTTATACGGACAGGAGCTGACCGGTGTCTATGTCTAGTGTGTTAAGGTATATGATGTTAGTTGGAGACTCCTTGGAAAGAAGTCCTGACAGTAAAGATGTACTATCCTTAGTAAGAGAACTTGTTTGTCTCAAACATAAGATCATTAGACTTCACAAAAGGATCTCTATGCTTTCTCTTCTCACAGACGGCTCTGACTCTAGAGACAAGCCAAAGTTATACCGCCTTCAACTAAGTGTGACTGAAGTTGGGACAGAGAAATTCGATGACAATTCCATCCAGGTACTTGGTCGTGTCTGCTGCCTAAGCCCTTTCCTGTCATTCCTCCTATCAGTAAGTAATAAGCACATGCTAAGGAACCAGCCGCGTCGGAATGAGTGAAAACGATAGACCTAGTGTTTCACTGTAAGTCAGTCTTTAGTCCCTTTTCTCTGCTGAGTGTAGCGAGAACATGACGTGCTTGTGTCCAGAGTGCACCTACAGGAGCATGTGCTGTTGTAACGTTCCGGTCTGGCTGTTGACTGCTGCTTGGGAAGCAGAGGTGCTGAGACAGTTGGTAGGTCTGTCCTAGGGAGACTGCCTGGTTTGCACGCGGCACTGCCTGAGCATCTTCAGAACTGAAAGGAGGGGTGTCCAGTCAACTGTTCTTTACCACTTGTTTCTGTGTGTGAGTCAAGTGGTTGGGTTTTAGTTCTTAACAGTAAGATGTAAGTAAGGGTTTTTTAGAAGTAATAATTTTCTGTATGCATTCATCTATTCATTACCCAGTTAATGTTTCAGATCATATACTTTGTGTGTGTGTTGAGGAGGGGGATCCTGGGGTTGGAACAGAGTGCCTCATGCAGATTGTCACTGACCATACTCCTGAACTACTTCCTGAACCCCAGCCATACTATTAGTAAAGCAGAGTTACAGTATTCTTGAAAACAAGTTCTTAAATGTTAAAAATGTCCAGGTACTTTGACATAATTTTACACTATTAAGAGAGAAATCCACATAAGAAAACAAAAAAATCCAGGGCTTATTAGACCGTGTTTATCATGGCAGAACATGAATGTTTTAAGCACTGTGTACTTCGTGATGGAACTGTCTTTCCCTTCTCTTTTTAGCTGTTTGGCCCAGGAATTCAGCCTCATCACTGTGATCTCACTAACATGGATGGGGTGGTCACTGTGACACCCAGAAGTATGGATGCAGAGACCTATGTGGATGGCCAGCGCATCTCAGAGACCACCATGCTGCAGAGTGGCATGAAAGTGCAGTTTGGCACTTCCCATGTGTTTAAGTTTGTGGACCCCATCCAGGACCACGCCCTTTCGAAGAGATCTGTGGATGGAGTCCTGATGGTCAAGGGCCCAAGACATAAACCTGGGTGAATGTGATAGATCAGCTTAAGGATTTTAGAGTGTTTTGGCTATAAAGTAATTTCAATTAGATGTAAATACCTTTTTATTTTCAGTTTTTAATTACATTTTTTATTTTCTGTGTGCATGTGTGTGTGTGCCTGTTTTTTGTTTTTTTTTCCTCCTGTACTCACAGGTTATCTCACAGGAGTGGGCTTTCTCCCACCTGTGGGTCCTGTGGATCAAATTCAGGTTGTCAGGCTGGCAGGCAAACAAGCAAGCACGTTACTCACGCCATCTCCCCATCCTTTATTTTTAGTTTTAAGAGATAAAGATGAGGGTCTGGAGAAGCGGCTCAGTGCTTAGGAGCAGCTGCTGTTTTTGCCAAGGACCCTGAGTCGGGCAGCTCTCAACCATCCGTAATGCTAGTTCCAGGGCTTCTGATGTGGGTACATACACGTGTTGCACATACATATGTTCAGGCACAACACCCATGTAAAATAAAAATAAAACTTCTTAATATCAAAGTAAAGTTTATAGATTGGGAGTTTTTTGTAAATTTGTATTGGTTTTGGAGCAAAAAGAGTAGAAAGATTCTGACTTAATCTTGAAATTGGAAGTTCTGACTGATTTTAAAGTTTCTTTCTTTTAAAGCTGATCTGATCTCTGGACCATCACCCTATGTAACTAAAGTGTTTAAACTACCTCCTCACTCTAAAGCTCCGGCGACACAAGGCGTCTAGTTAAGAACTCAGCCTTTTAGCTCCACCTAGTGTTTTCACGAGGTCTTGCAGTGTGGCCTCTTCTGTTAAACTTTTTTTTTGGAGAAAAGTTTTTCTTTTGGTAATAATTTTGGAATCATACACTGTTAAGTTACTTTGTATCTATTTTATAGGTTAATAAGGTATTGATCTTGGGGAAATAGTTTCCATAACTCTTATGTTATTTACAAGAGTTCTAAGTCCACAGAAGTGTAACCTCAAAGAATGTAAGCATAAACCAACCTGTAAACCACTGTGTTGGTGGACTCTGTACTGCCCCACCTCCATTTTGTTTGTTTTTTTTTTTTTTTTTTCTAAAGACAGGGTCTCGCCATGTAACCCAGTTTAACTTGCCTTAAACTCACAGAGCCCTGCCTCCCTAACGTGACATCGGTTACCTTCACACATCTGACATTTTGGACCAGATGTTATTACTATTCAGAGTTAACATATTTTTCTCCAGTGAACACATCATGACATGTACTGGTTTAGGCACAAGGATGTTTGAAGTTTCATATGCCATGTATGAAGTGTTTCTAGCTTTTCACCTTGAGTTGCAGTTTTTTTGTTTTTAATTTATATACTTGGGTATATGTACTACATGTGTGCAGGAATCCAGCCCAAGTTCACAGTAACTTTGTACTGACTTTTACCTTTAGCTGTGAGTGTCATACCTTCCCCAGTACTCAGAACACAATAATGACATATGGGGGCTCGGTGGATCAAGACATCCCTGAAATCCCCAAGCTGATGTCTTGGAGACGGTTACATGCAGAAAGTTAATGATTATTTAGTCTTTGGTAAAAAACTCCTTAGAAGTTGGTTTTCAGAGCATGGTATTGCTTTACATTGCAAGATATTTTATTTTCTTAGGGAATTATATAGAGGAGTTTCTAATAGAAAAATTATTTGAATTTCAACATTACTTGTTTCAGTCTATCAATGAAACTTTGAAATTAAACCTTGTAGTTCTCAAATGTTAAAACAATTCAGAATTAGCCATTGCTTTATTCTTGTTGGCTTACAGGCACCTTTAGGCTCCTTTTCCCTTTAGGTTGGGACCAGTGCATTATATTTAATCTTTACTTGTGCCAAAGAATATAGTTTTGCTTGTCTGAGCTTTGTTCCTATAGAAAAATATGATTTTTTGTATTATTTAAAGTTTTTATTTTCTTTATATATGGTGTTTTGCCTTCCTATCTGTATGTGCCTGGTGCCCACAGAGGCCAGAAGAGAGTATTAGATCCCCTAAAATTGGAGTTGCAGGTAGCTGTGAGCTGTCAAGTGGGTGCTGGGAATTGAACTCAGGTTCTCTGCAAGAGTAACAAGTAACTCTTAACCATAGAGCCATCTCTCCAGCCCCAGTTTTTTGTTATTAACAGGACCTTTCTCATATTTACTGTCACATTTTAAAAGTCTATATGCCAAAGTAGAGTTTATTAATGATCTTTGAACATTGGAATACTGTCTGTTCTTGCTGTGTTGAGAGTACTACCTTGTCAGTTGAAATTTAATTTTTATGTTTCTTTTTCATTCAATAGAGCCGTTCAGGAGACAACCTTTGATTTGGGAGGAGATATTCACAGTGGGACAGCATTGCCAGCAAGCAGGGTAGGTGGTTATGGATCATGACCTGATCATCTTGTAGGTTGGATGTTATAGGGCGCCCAGGAACAGAAGCTCCTTTGTAAAGACTTGAGTTCGCAGTAGCCTCTCTCTGCTGTATCTGTTCACCCCGTGGTACATAATGGAAGGTAGCTAGCTGTTCCTTTTGTCCTGAGGTCAGGATAGAGTGCTTTCTCTTTCAAGTGGGTATGTGTGTTGCCTGTGCTACTACTGTGTGTAACTCACCTCTTTGGCCAGATCCTGCTGAGGATGATGTGCCCTTGCTCCTTTACTTCCCTTGATACAAGTACTAGATCCCCATTGGTTACTCACTTCTCTAAGTCATCCTTTGTTCCTGTATATAAAAGTCATTTCTCCCTTCATCTTGGTGTTCTATTTTTGGATTACAGTTACTGTAAAACTTGGTGAGCTGAAACAGCAGCCCCTTCATTTATTGATAATTGGATGAACTAGTTTGAGTTTACTAGGGCAGCCGGTTTACTGGTCTTGCTACTGGTCCCTCATGTGACTGCAGTCAGCTAGCAGGTGAATTAGTGACATGCTTCTGAGACTACCCACCTTGCATCTCTTCGCTGTTCTTTCCAAAGGACTCTTTAAACGAGAGCAGTCAGAGCTTGTGGTCAGGTGGTGGTCTATAGGACTAGCACCTGAACTTGCAAGTGTTCTTAAGAGTTAGGCCCAGGGCTGAGATAGCACCATTTTTTTTTTTTTCTGCCTTTTATTGGTTGAAACAAATCAGAGTCAGATTTAAGGGGAAGAGGTCTTCTTGAGATGTGGTATGTTGGAGGCCATGATGGAGCTAAGCGGGGAACATTCCCATGAGCACCCACATGCAACCTCGGTTCTCCTGACTTAGTTACAGAAGTGTCTACTTACAACCACTCTTCTGTACATACTCTTCTGCTCCAGGTTGCTCTGTCTTTATCCCTGGACCATGGCTTGGTGGTTCTTTCCAGGCGAATTGTTGGTACCTCTTTCTCTGATAAGTGGAGAGCTAAGCTGTCAGGTCTAGGGCCTGTCCCTCCTATTTATACAAGTTCCCTTGGTGACCTTGCCACGTTGCCTAAGACTGGAACCATTTGTTGTTCACTGTCTCCTAGTGTGGGCCTTTGACCCTGGCTTCCCCAGACTGAAATCTTCAGAGGCTTGATTGACTTTCTGTTCTGTATTGATGGGTATTCAAATTTAACATAGTGAATTAAGCCTGGCTTTTGTTTTTCTTTTCTTAAACTTATTTCCTTCTCATCTTCTTCGTTTTAGTAAGTTAACCACCAGCCATGGCTTTGCCCAACTGAAGTCTGTGCCAGGTTGCCTGTGATTTCTTTCCTTTGCACAGCTCCTGATGAGGGCCGTCATATCTCGTTTTCTCTGGCTGTGAAGCATCCGCACGCCTCTGCCTTACTCGGCATTCAGTACTCACATAACAGGGCAGTGCGGTGATGTGAGCAGCAGCTCCTCTCGGGGGTTAGTGGCCAGCCCTGGCTGTCATTACTTTGAATTGTAGGGACATCATTTGGTTCTGTTGGAGCACTGCTGTCAAGGACTCTGGTACCTTTCCGACCCGCACATCATGGCCTTCACCCTAGCTTCACAACTCCCGATACTCGGATTTCCTCCCTCCTGTCACACTCCGTCCTTGTGTGTGCCCACTTCTCATTTACCTTCCACTAGATCTGATTCTTGTTTTTACATGGTTGGCCCCTTCTTGTCTTAACCCATCCTCCTGATGAGGTCATTCTTGAGCAGCATCCAGTCATACTACTGCATGTAAAGCTTTTGGGTAACTATTATTCCTACCCGGTGTCTCTGCTTGCTAATTGATGATGTGGGCTGTGAACTCTGGACACAGGGATCCTGTTTCATAAATTAATTGTTGTGCCTCTAATGCTGCAACAGAACCTTGGCACATACAAGTGAATAAATACTCCAGAGGTGAAGCAGAACTTTTCTCATAACAATGTATACTCAACATAGAAGGCTTGGTAAATAAAGGGAAAAGGAAAGTCCATGACCCACAGTATATAGATGACTCTTACTAACATTTGGGAACCCTTTCCAGAGTGCTTAATCGTAGGGAGGCAGGTGTGCCTGTGCCTTTGCGTTTCCTTATGTTTCAACTCTATGAGGCTTTTGTCTACAAACCTTTCTGCACTATGTTGTACTGTTAATTGTGAGCAGGTTTTTTGTTTTGTTTTGTTTTCTTAAGTCATTTAAAAATAATTCTGTAGTGTATAAGCCTATAAACATGTCCTGGTTTATTTTTCCATTGCCATTACTGGTCATTTGTTAAGTAATTTTTTAAAATGTTTTGAAGCCTAAAATAGTGCCACCTGCTGGCCAGTTTTATTTTTGTTACTGTAACTGGGGAAGTAAAATGACTATTCTTTCAAAATCGTTTTGTTTTTATATTTTATTGCTAAGGTTTACTTCTTACTCTTTGAAAATCAAGATGTCTGTGTTTTTTCATGCTCGTGCATTCACTGCCGTGAGCTTCTGGGCAGGACACTGGACTCAGGGTCTCAAGTGTTTCTGAATGATCTGTTCTGGGTCCTCACCTTCCCTGCACTGCAGCCAGACCCACATCAGATCCCCGCCTGCAGTGCTAAGTGTAAAGCTTGGTTGGTTGGGGCGTAAGGTCCTCTAACACTGCGGCTTCCTTTGGAACAGAGCACTACTAGACTGGACAGTGACAGGGTGTCCTCTGCCTCCAGCACGGCTGAGCGAGGGATGGTGAAGCCAATGATCCGACTGGACCAGGAGCAGGATTATCGCCGAAGAGAAAGCAGGTGAGAGAACTGAGCACCCCAGAGGAGGCTTTGGGGTAAAGACTGCTGAGGTTATAGAGGGTTTACCAGGCTTTGATGAGTATTTGTATATTACTGAATAAAATGACTGGTTAGTAACTGCATTCCTTCCTTGCCACGTGCAGACTTTGGATACTGGCACACTGGGTTTTACTTCCTCTTTAAGTTGGCTGCTCTGTAGCATACAGAGAAAGGGAGGAGTTTTTATAACATTTTAGTATGTGATCATTTTTAATAGAAAATTATTAATTATTGCATCCATTTCTAGAAGAAATTTACAAATATGTAAAGACAAAAATAATTTTGAAGAGACATTCCCTGTCCCAGACTCTCATGTGGTATGTCTCCCTTCTGCGGCAAGCAAAGGGTGAATTAGTTTCCTTACATTGTTGCCTCATTTCTTATGACACGGACCTTCTCTGCTTTCTGTTTTCTTTTGTGCTTTTTAATATGTTACCTTCATAAATCAGGAGTCTTTGTTTTAAGTAGTGTAGCAGGCTGTGACCCACATGCTCACTGGTAAGTGACACCATAGTACTTAGAGCCCTAGAGGCCACAGATGGGGAGAAGGAAATGCCGAGTGAACTCTGTGTACTGTTGGCAGGGGGCTGGAGATGCTACTGACCTGTTGCAGGGTTTTGAAGAAGACATTCTTTCTGTTCTTGTCAGACATCCAGAACAGATGGTTGGCAGAAGTGGGAGACTTGGCGTACAGTCAGAGTCAATTGTCAATGCAGTCAGTTCCGTAAAAAGTCTTTTATTATCTTCCATCCTCCAGGAGAGGGCACTGTGTATCACAAGATTATTAATAACTTCAGTCCAATAATGAAATATGTAGTTATCAGCAAATATCATAATATTTTTATTGTGGGTTTTTTGACTATTCATGTAAGATTTTTTTTTTTGGGCTTTGTGATTATTAGATGTCATAAAAGATAGTTCTCTTTCTGTGTTTACACTTGTTTTGGGTGGTATAGAGTAATTAGTATCCGTCATGGTGAAGTGTTGAATCAGTATTGGTTTTCTTTTTGGTCTATTTGTTTGAGATGGGCCTCACTATGAAGTCCTGGATGGCCTTGGACCTCACTATGTGAGCCAGGCTGGCCTGGAACTCACAGATGTCCTCCTGTCTCTGCCTCCCAAGTGTTGGGACAGACCATGAAAACAAGTAAATATATTCTTATTATAGCAAAATAGCCATGTGAAGGGGCTAGTCCTAAACGTTTTATTTACACTATGGATGTTTGTTGATGTTAAGACAGGATGGGAATAGATAAACCTTCTAATTCCTACTACACTTTTCACAATGACAATGCTTAAATTAGCAGTGCTTAATTGATGTAGTTTAAAATCTTGGTCATTTTAATAAATAGATTTATTATAATTATTTATAATAAATAAAATTATTTATTATAATTTTAAGGAAGCTCAAACATCCTTTTGAGTGAGGGGAGTAACTTTTCTTTTAATTATCACAACATTTTTTCCCTCTTTCCAGTTAATATAAACTCTTTATTAAATTGGTTAAAACAATGAAATGAATAATTTATACAGTTTATCCAAGCTAATTCTTTTAAAAATTTGAAACTGCCAGCCAGGCAAGGTGGTGCACACCATTAATCGTGGAGGCCAGCCTGGTCTACATAGTTGATTCCATGCCAGCCAGGGCTTTGTGGTGAGACTGTCTCAAAAAAAGAAAAGAAAAAGAAATACACTTTTAGTATAAGATCTGTATTGAAATAATCATGCATTTAAATCATATTGTTTTCTTAATTTCTTAAGGTAAACTCAAATTGTTAAATTACAGATTGGAGTAAACTTTGAATAGTTAATTTAATGAAAAGAATTTTGCCTTTAAAATGATAATAGTTTGTGTTAACTTACATTATGTTCTTTTTTTAAAGGTTTTGTGTGTGTGTGTGTGTGTGTGTGTGTGTGTGTGTGTGTGTGTGTGTGTGTGTGTGTGTGTGTTAGTTATATGGGTTCTGGCATTCAAATTCTGTTCTCAGTATCTTTTTTATCTGTTAAGCAATTTCTCCAGTCCCTTAGTGTTCTTTTCTTTTTATTCATCTTTTCATACTTGGCAAAGGTGAGAGAATGAGGAGAATGGAGCTATTTGTCAGTGTAAAAGAATATTTCAGTTAGCTGGTCTGTAAATTATTAGAAAACTGTATCTTTTCACTGTTACCTGAGCTCGGTGGCTTAGATCCTTGTCTTCAACATGTGGTACTCATTAATAATCCAGACACGTGTCTTATCTGCCCTCACAGTAGAAGTCTGTCCTTCAAGGAATCCACCTTCTGTCCACTCATCTGAATGTGTGACTAGGTTAACAGAAGAGGCTAGAGACTGTGCTGTGTATGACTTAACACCCCAGAACTCCACGTGGAAACAAACTAGTTTTGGAAATGTGTACAGGTGGCGGGCAGTGATGTTGTTAGCTGTTGACCTTACCTGAAGGCAATTTGAGTGATGTCAGCTTTTCTTTTAGAACTCAGGATGCAGCTGGGCCTGAACTGATACTGCCTGCCAGCATTGAATTCAGGGAAAGCTGTGAGTCATTTTAGATTCTACTACTAGTGATTAAGTTCATGTTCACTTTTCTTCAGGTGACATTCCTACTTTCTGTTCATTTTTCTTCTAAAATCTCTTTACAGCGGAAGATTCTTTCTTATCTGCCATCATAAACTATACCAACAGCTCCACGGTGCACTTTAAGCTGTCACCCACGTATGTGTTGTACATGGCGTGCCGGTACGTGTTGTCCAGCCAGCACAGGCCCGACATCAGCCCTACAGAGCGCACCCACAAGGCCATTGCTGTGGTCAACAAGATGGTGAGCATGATGGAAGGGGTCATTCAGGTGAGTGTCGGCCCGACAAGCTCTGGGGAGTGGTGGCCACCTCGTCAGTTTCCGTGACATTTCTGGTTGGATTACAAATTTGCCTTTATAGCCTATGATTCTTTTTTTTTTTTTAATAAAATGCATAGCTTTTAAAGTCAAAAGAAAATAAAAACTTTTAAAAATTTTCTTTTCTGGAAATTGTAGACTAAATGAAGATAAATTGTATATATTGTAACACAGTCATCTTAAAATTAGCCACTGTGAGAAAGTGTTGAGGTGATAGTTTCTTTGAATTTTCTTTAAATTATTGAAATGAAATTCACACAGTGTATGTGTGCAGCTCGACCTTGAGAATGTTTCTCCAGTGCCAAGGAGATAGCCAGCCTCCCTCCACAGGCCCTGCTGTCTGCAGTTGTCAGGTGCTTGCTTCTTTCTGAGGACCTGCTCTGGGGTGGAGAGTGTATGTAGTCTTGACAGTACAGATGTAGGCTTGATGGGTTTGAGGACAAACTTCTCACTTAAGACGGACTTCTTTCACGGCCCTGTTAAGAATTCCCTGTTGGTAGATGGTTTGGTTCTTTTAATACTCAAAATTCATCGTTGATAAAATTGGCACAGCTGTTTTTTTATATTTGCAGATAATTTGAGGATTTAATTATAAAGGTTATTATAAGTAAATTTACAGATTTTAAAGTTTTCCTAACTTAACCAATGCCTTTACTCAGCTAAGAAACTAGCTGCAGTGTTAAATACTTTGGTTAAATGGTTTGGGAATTAAAAAAAAGAATCCTGGCAGTATAATTCGAGGGAAACCGAGATGGTCTTTTATACTCTCAGAGTTGTTTTTAAAAGCCAAAAGTTTTCCACAAATATTTCTTTCACATTTGAGTGATTAGCACAGTAGGAGTTTGATGGGCTTGTTCAAGCTAAAGAATAGATGAGAAGGAAGGTCATTTTACCTGGGTATTCTGTTATTCTGGTATCATCACTTTATACACAAACAACAAGTGTCCTTTTCAGTTGTCATTCCAAGTCCTTGTCTGTCTCTGCCATGTGTGGACTTAGAAGCCTGTTTCAGACTGTGGTACTTCAGCCACCAGACTGCCTTTGAGAATTTGTCCTCGCTGGTGTCTTCTGGTGAGGACTTGGACTACTGTCTAGAAAGGCTTTTAAACCTCAGAGTCGGCTCAGTGTAAAATTAGAGCACTCTTTGTTGGTGGAAAAGAATTATGACAGTAAATAATTTCAGCAAATAATTTAAATTCTATTTTCAAAATACTATTCCCTTTACTATAGCTGTAATATGAATTCTTATGTACTTTAAATTTTTTCAGCTTTTATTTTGATTGTTTTTATTGGTCTTTTCATTCTCATTCTCATAATTAATTCAAGGGAATGGACTCCTTTACCTTTAAGTAGTAAGCCTACAGTATCATTTTTAAAGAGTGTTTGAAAGTCCTTCCGTTGCGTATCTTTCAAATAAGTCAGTATGTTCATTTGTGTTTTATTATGACATCATCCTTATGAACTATACACCTCAGCTATGCAAATGTTAGGAACATGACACCAGCCATTTATGTCAGATAATCTGGGGATAACTAAATGTCGTGCCTCATGTCGTACCTTCATGTTAGTGTTTTGATTTTTTTAAACAGTCATGATTGTTTACAAGTTTCTTTCTCTCGTTCTGCTTGATTTCCCCTCGTCTGTTTTTCTCCAGGAAGTAGACCAGGTTGATCAGGTAGGACATGCTGCTGGGAGCTGATCCTAGCTGTATTGGCTTAGCTGAGTTTCTCATGCTGCTTTCCATTACAAATATCCTACAAAAACTGGACTGAGCAGTTCATAACCCTCATTCAGCAACTGAAACATGCAGTACTAAAATCCTTTTTGACTGTGCAACTTTATCAGCATTTCATAATTCCTGCTTAATGCACTTCAGTATGATATGAAATGACAAAAGCTCTGTGCCTTCTCTATTATTTACCCTTGGTTCCTGTTCTTTGGATCTCATCTGAGGTTGCCTGGCCTGCAAATGTGGTCGGGAGAGGATGTGATAGATCAGTACTTGATACTGAGTTGCATGGTGTCCAAGCCAGTGACTACAAGTATCAGGGTGGCTGTGGGTAACTTACCATGGATACATGTGTGTATGCTACACAGATTACCAGATAATGCACAATCTACAATTTGGTTTGGTAATACACAATATCTCCATTCTCTACTGATTCTGCAAATTACATCCCATTAGACCAATATGTCTGTGTACATGAATCTTGACATGTTGCAGTGGTTATTTGCTTCCCATTGCTCTGCATGTACCTACATTTCTTTGCAAGTATCTGGTATCTGTGATAAATACCTGGTGAAGATGGGAAGGTACTGGTCTATCTTCAGCTTTTCAGGAGCATTCTTATTTATTTCTAATTTTTCTAATGTCTTGCATTGCTAATGAAAATGTTTTCTGTTCACAGAAACAAAAGAACATTGCAGGGGCACTTGCTTTCTGGATGGCAAATGCATCTGAACTTCTCAACTTCATCAAGCAGGACCGTGACCTTAGTCGGATCACACTAGATGCCCAGGATGTTTTAGCACACTTGGTTCAGATGGCATTTAAGTAAGAAGCACATTCTGGAAATAGTTAACTCACATGCTTCCTGTTCTGTTTTCAAAACTCATACTAAAGATTTGTTCTAACCTAATGGAAGATGCTCACCAAGAATCTCGGGGAGAGGTGCTAACTTCAGAGCACTGCACTCTGGGCTCCATTTCTAGTGTTCCAGAGTCCGATTTTGTTATTTTGAGTGGAAATATTCTTAAAGAATATAGAAGTCTAACACTATCTGTGCAACTTGCTAAGGTGACTAAAATCTTGTATTTTCAGGTACTTGGTTCACTGTCTCCAGTCAGAACTTAATAACTTCATGCCAGCCTTTCTGGATGATCCTGAGGAGAACAGTCTGCAAAGGCCAAAAATAGGTTAGGGTCTTATGTGCCTTCCTTTAACATTTAACTTGACTTAACTTGGTATCTTTTTGTTTTGTTTTTAAGATTTATTTTTATTTTTTAATCTTTATTTTAAGTATATGGATGTTTTGCCTGATTATATGTTTGTGTGCCATATATGAGCTAGAGTCCAGAGAGGGTGTTAGGTCCCTTGGGACTGAATATCAGATTGTTGTGAGCCACCACGTGGGTGCTGGGAATCAAGGGAATCAACTCAGGTCCTCTGGAAGAGCAGCCAGTGCTCTTAACCACTGAGCCATCTCTCCAGCCCCTTGTTTGTTTATTTTTTGATGCCACTGACCTTTGTCTGGGTTATAGGCCCAACAAGCTTCTGCTGTGCCACTCTGCCAAGAACCTATGTTTTAATTTTTAATTTTTTTTATGTATATGAACTTGAACTGCATGTATGTGTGTGTATAGTACCCATAGAGGCCAGAAGAGGTCATGGGATTCCCTGGAACTAGAGTTACAGATGGCTGTTAAATGCCATGTAGGTGCTGGGAACTGAACCTGAGATCCTCTGCAAGTGCAGCAAGTACTCTTAACTTCTGAGCTACCTCTCCAGCCCTTAAGTTTATCTCAATGTTGTAAGGGGTGTGTTTCTTTTTTTAAGATTTATTTTTATTTATGTTTTGTGTTTGTATGAGTGCATGCTGTGGGTGCCAGTGCCCAAGGAGGCCAGAAGAGGGCATTAGAGCCCCTAGAGTTGGGCTACGTGCAGCTGGGAAATGAGCTTGGGTCTCCCAGAAGATGAGCATATAACTGGTTTAACAGCATTTGTTAATTGTCTAAAGTTGGTATAACTCAGAAGGTTCTGCAATGACATTTGGTCCCTGGGTTTCTGTTCCATGTCCTGAACAGATGATGTGCTGCATACACTCACAGGAGCCATGTCCTTGCTGAGGCGCTGCAGAGTCAATGCTGCCTTGACCATCCAGCTATTCTCTCAGCTTTTCCATTTTATCAATATGTGGCTGTTCAACAGATTGGTGACTGACCCAGACTCAGGCCTGTGTTCCCACTACTGGGGAGCAATCATCCGCCAGCAGCTAGGGCACATTGAAGCCTGGGCAGAGAAGCAGGGGCTAGAGCTGGCAGCTGATTGTCACTTGAGCAGGATTGTGCAGGTGTGTACAAGGCTGTGCTCCATTCTCCAAACTTCTCCCTCTTCCCTGTGAATGTGTTTTGTGGTGAATTTCAGATTTTTATGGTGGGCAAGAACTTGGGTTCAATAAAGCCTCAGTCTTTTCTCATTGCACATAGACAAGCAGTGATGTGGCAGCATCTAGACTGCTGTAACAGAGCAGCAGCTCAAACTAAATGTCTTAGCAGACATTTATTGTCTCCTGCTTCTGGAAATTAGAGGTTGAAATCAAGGTGCTAGCCATGGGAGTATCTTTTGAGGGAGTATAAATCTGTTCTACCAACCTCTGGTAGTTCACACCCAGCATAGGCGTTCCTTGGACAGTCTGCCATAGTCTTTCCGTGGCATTCTTGGATACGTGTCTGTCCAGGTGTCTGTTTGTACAAGGGCACCAGTGACCTGACCTCCGTTTTAACTAACTGTGTTCCTTCTAAACGAGGTTCCTTCTCGTAATACTTGGGCCTCCAACATTAGGATTTTAAGGGACATTGTTCACCCTATAACAAGATGTGTAGACAGTAGGATAGAAATACCATTGAAGTGTTCTTTTTGTTGAGACCAGCAAGGTATACTTTAGAAAGCCATATACTGAAGGAGAAATGATAATTAGTTGCCAAGTCCTATTCTGCTATCTGAACAGCTCTCAGGGAGAGCTTTAGATACCAAAGACTAGGAACTGGTGTTTATAATTAAGGAAATGGAGTTATATGCAACCTCAAAACATACAACAATTAAATTTTTTTCTAATGTATTAGCTTTTGTTTTTTATGCTTTCATCTCCTCCAAAGATATTAATTATTCTGAGAAGCTAGTTACCCCTCAACTCTTATCAAAATTCGTATCAGCAAGACTCTCTGATTCCTATAACTGATCATCTGGATTGCTGTATAAATATTCAAACTTTCAAAGCAACCTTTAAAAGTACATTATAAACATCGATACTTGAATCAAATTATGTTAAAACAAAAACTAAAGTAAACTCAAGAGGCTTTTAAAAAGCCTACAGAAGTATGCTTGTAGTTTAATATATGCCACTAAATGTTAATGCCTCTTTACAAGCATCCTGCACTTCCAAACCAAATTAGCAAGTTATTAGCTTAACAACTGTTACCAAAGGGTGTTTTGTTTTATTTTGTTTATTTTGTTTTGTTTTGTGGTGCCGAGGATTTAAACCCAGGGCCTCACATGTGATACTGAGTGTGGGCTCTTCCATTAACCTGCACTCTCAGCCCCAAGGAAAAAATATTTTTAGTATCTTACTTCATAATATTTTTTCTTTTAAATAGGCTACTACTTTGCTTACCATGGATAAGTATGTACCCGATGACATTCCAAATATAAACAGCACATGCTTTAAGTTAAATTCTCTACAACTTCAAGCCTTATTACAGAATTACCACTGTGCACCTGATGAGCCTTTTATTCCCCCGGTAAGTGAATATTACCATGATACCATGAAGAATTTTCATGTCTGCACAGGAAAATTGGGATGAAGGGTTCAAGTAAAGGGAAACTCTCTCAGTGCTGTGTCAGTAACTTGGCTCACCTAAAATGATCTTAAGAGATCGTTTTACTCTGAAGTCTTAGCTGTTTGGTGCAAAGAATATAGATTATGTAAGCATTTTAAGAAAGAAATGATTTAATTCGAGGCATTGCTTCTTGGGAAATCTTTGAAAGGACTAGAGGAAAGGAAGTTGAGTTGAAGTTTATACCACCATGCTTAAATACCAGAGAGCCAGAGCTTCTATTAAAGCTACAGGATTCTTTTCATATATCACATGCATACTCCTGCCACCAGCACCAGCATGAGTCTTCACTCCATAGCAGCCTTCTAGATTCCATACATCAGCGTCTGATTGGTAACAACCACTGTCTACCCAGAGGACAGTCTAGAGTTTTATGTGTACTGATCTCACGCTGTAAGAGGACTTGAGGGTAAAGAGCCCATCCGTCTGTAATATCTGTCCCCACTGACTATTTATACAGAAAGCTGTGCCACAGATACTACCATCTTAAGTCAATACCTGAGAGAAACAGTTTGAAAGAAAAGATTTGGGCTCAAGGTTTCTGAGATTCAGTCCATGATCACCTGGTTTCATGACTATGGGCTGTAGTAAGGCAGAGAACATGACTGCAGAGAAGACGCTGTGAAAGCTGCTTACCTCCTGCAGCCAGGAAACATAGAACCTGTGGAGCTCTGTCCTTTGGTCATGACATGGTGTTGCCATCTTAAAATCAGAGCAACTGATAACTCACACTAGACCCTCAAGACACAGGATTGAGCCCACTAACATTTTCTAGTGGAATTGGGGAGGACTCACAGGACCACTGTCCACCTGAAGATTCTATAAGCAGGTAACAGTTGCTGGGAATTGAGAAACTCCTCTCTGGTGGTATAGCTGCCTATAAGCTGCCCATGTTCCTTTTATTGGGTAATCCCATTTAAATGTTTACCATGGTAGACTTGGGTGGAATCATTTCTTTGACCTGTTCTTACAGGGTAAGTATATATGGACTCCTCAGGGGGAAAAAATTATTCAAAGACAGGAAGGGGCCATGGCAATATAAAATCTTTAAAGATTGACAACTTTCCCAGCGACCTTTTTCCAATTAGACCTAGTTTTCCCTGGTTCCACCACTTCACGATGTAATCTATTCAGATTTTGAATTTACCAACTATTAATTCATTGACAAAGACAAGAGCCTTTTGACCTGATCACTTCCCGAAAGCCTCACCTCTGAACGCAGGAGTTACATACCCTCAGTACATAAGCCTTAGGGTGATGCTTCAGATCCAAACCATACCATCTACCATCCGAGCCAGTTGTGCCTAGATTATGCTAGTTGATGGATAAATGAAGTTCAGTATTGAGTTTATATCAATAAAAGACAGGTACAAAATAGCCAAACAGTGAAAACAACCCAGTTAGCAATACAATGCACCAGAAAATCATGTTACAGTGATGTGAAGAAATGTTTTGCTACAGTGAAGAAGGAATTGTGTTGCCACTACAATGTGTGTGGATATTATGATGCACTTGTTGTAAAAGAAACTGTACGTGAATGCAAAATATGCAGTGGCTTCCAGCTATTTAATTTCAAGAATAGAGAAAACTCTTGACATTATTAGCCCGGGTAGTTGTCCCCTGTGTGGAAAAGGACGATGGTGGTAGAGCTCAGGGCTGCTTCTGAGGGGCTGCTATGCTCCTGTTACTGAAGCTGTGGGAGATGAGCCGGGGTCTTCATTTTAATGAGTCATATAGTAAGACATGTGAACTTCACGTGTTTGCCTTCCTTCTCACCATTCCCCATCCCCAGATGTGTGTGTATTTGTGTCTCAGTAATGTATTTCGTGATGTAAACCATCCACAGACCCCAGTTCTGCAGCTCTTCCAGTGAGACTTCCAGGCATAGACATTTTATCCTGTGGTTTTTTTTGTTTGTTATTGTTTTTAATGTTCATTTTGTGAGGTTTTCTCTATGGCATTGCATGTTCTATAAAATAATTACTCACAACTTAATAACAATGTGTTAAAGAATTGTGCAAATAAATCAGCTGCTTTGAATAAGAAAAGAACATCTTTTTGTTTGTTTTGTTTTGTTTCATTTTGAGACAGTTTCTTTATGTAGCTCTGGCTGTCCTGGAACTCACTCTGTAGACCACCCTGGCCTTGAACTCCTGCCTCTGCGTCCCGAGTGCTGGGATTAAAGGTGTGTGCACCACTACTGCCCAGTGAGAACATCTTGTGGTAAAACTGTTTTAAAGCCAGGAGTAGTAGGGAGTCAATCAGCCTCTTGTTCTCTCTTTAAGTAATGTGTGTCTGGTGTGTGGACACTCACACTGGTTGAGTGTGCTCTACCCTGAAGTCGTGTCTGTGACATAGCAAGGTGCTTCCCGTCAGTGAGCATCTCTTAATGAATCAGCACTTGTTTTCTGCAGGATCTCATAAAGAATGTCGTGGCTGTTGCTGAGAACACAGCTGATGAGCTCGCCCGCAGTGATGGCCGAGATGTGCAGCTGGAGGAGGACCCAGATCTGCAACTACCTTTTCTTTTGCCAGAAGATGGCTATTCCTGTGATGTCGTCAGAAACATTCCTAATGGTTTACAAGAATTTTTAGACCCTCTGTGCCAGAGAGGTAAATACCACCAGTCACACCTCAGTTGGAGGACGCAGCTGGGTTCAAGTGAGCGTCGCACTCGCTCCCTGATGGCAGCCCTGAGGAAGCTGTGTTCCTGTGACTCAGAGAGTTTCACTGAGATGAAAGATCTCACAGGCCCAGACCAGCCTGTGTGGGTGTGTTGTGTCCCTTGATGGAGCACCTGCTCCTCCCACACGGTGCCGGAACAAGGGACCTTTGTCTCCCTTCCTCCTGCCAGTGGAGAGCAGCAGCACAGGCCCTGGGTTCTGAGGGACCCTAGTCCACTGCCACCCAGCTGTGCCGTCGTGGCCAGGGCACCCCTCATAAAGCAGGCCAAGAGGAGGGGAAATGGACGATGGCTGTAGCGGGAAGCTCTGTGAGTGCCCCGTGCCCTGTGACGGCTTCTGGGGCTACCTACCATCAGGTAGACTTGTAGCCGTCTCCAGCTTTTCCCAGACTGCTTCTGTGACCTTTGATAGACTGTTTTGCTGGTATATAACAATTTTTTAAAAATCAGTTTTTTTCTTAAATTATGGGCTTTGAGGCAATACACATTTTAATCTACTCTGCTACATTTTTTATGATGTAGGGAATAACAGATGAGTAGGAAAGTAGACCCAGAGTATAGGAGTTCAATTAAATAACAATAATAATAACAAATAATAGTGAAGGGACTGCAGCCATAGATAAATGAAGTGAGTGTGATTTTTATTTTTTAAACTTCAGTGACTGTTTCACGCACCACAATAAATAAGTTTTAGATCTTCAAAAGTAATAGTGGACAAAAAAATGCATTGCATTGAAAGACTGCCTCTTCTCATGAACTGTGTTGTTGGCAAAGCAGTTTGTACGTTAGTTCTCCCAGTAGGTCTCCTGCTCTCAGAGACACGAAGTCCAAGGTAGGGAAGCAGAGGTTTGGTTATTCAGGAAAACTGTGTGTGAAGTCTGAAGGAGAGTGAACAGGTTTTGGCCTGAAAAGCCCTCGTTCATGCATGGTACAGGTCGTCCTGCCTGGCTGCAGCGTTGTGAACATTCTAGGCATCAAACCTGTGGAATTCAGGCCCCTGGTCACAGCATGGGGAACACAGTAAAGCGACTTGACTACTTGCTATAGAGCTACTTAAAGGTGTCTCTGTGTGCACATCTTAGTAGATCAGGTCTAAACCATGGCCTTTAAACAATAGGCACATTATCCCCAGGAGTACGTCTCCTGTATTACTTCTGTTGATAGGCTGTTTAGCTGCTTTTGAGAGATACCATGTTTCTAGAGTTGCTTTCAGAGGCTTCCCATCAAGACCATGTGTGGAGCCAGTACCTAGGTTGCTAGTTCATTGTAAAGGAGTGTGAGCATTGTGCCTTCCCGGGGAAGGTATGTGTGAGTGTTGCACCTTCTCACTTCCAAAGGAGGGTGTAAGGGTTCTCTCCCCAGTGCTGGTGTGAGGATCCTGTCTCCACAGTGAGGATGGATGCCCTGTCTTCATAGAGCTGAGTTACCGTGGCTTTGGTGTGGCTGGCTTCCTCACTCGTGTCTGTACTCACTTAGGCATGCTTCATGCTGACACTCAGAAATGTGTTAATTAATATCTTATAAATAAGTAAGCTAGGAGACTAATCTGCTCCAACTTTGCAAATGGACATAATTTATAGTGTGCCAGTTTTGTCTTGTGCACCATAGATATTTGCCAGCATGGAAACAGTGAGGTCTTAACTTGACAAAGAATTTCCTTCGTATCTTCCCCTAGGCTCTCTAGGATAAGTAATCTTAGGCCATTTGTTAGTTAATTCTAGTCTTGGCATTCATACATTATTTCATACATGTTGGATGTTTATAGTTCATACAGCCTAGCACATAGATGCCTTTAAAGGTGTAAAATGGGTTGAATGTTATGACATCAGTGTTTAATTCTTCACACTCTATTCTTTATAAACTGATTAAAGAACTACTGTGTCCTCTCAGTATCCTGCCTTTTCCTGCCTCAATGCAGTGCAGTTCTGTGAGAGACTATAAAACCAGTCCAGACCAATGCCTGGGTTGTGATGAGTACCTCAAGCTATGACAAATCAGTTTCCATTAGCAGTATAGTACAGAGCGTGTTGTGGAAATCTGACATTTGAAAACATGAAACATTGCTTACAGTTGTTGAAATTTCACATTTTTACTAGTTTATAATTCTCTAAAACACAAGGAAGAAAAGCAAATTCTGGTTAACTATCAATGAAACTAGGTTGAAACATTTTTTCAAGTGAAATTACGTTGTATTTTTTATTTTAACTGGTGTTCTTTATATTTCCCCTTCCCTCTCCCACAAATACATGTCTGATAATAGCAATCCAAATTATACTCCATTGGTAAAACACTGGACCAGGGAGGACTCTGGCTAGGGCAGCTGGGCTCCAGACATACAGCCGTTCACATGGTGAGCTCTTGAGCAACAGTAGCCCTGGAGCAAACTTAAGAACTAGGGAAAGCCTGTGTAATACTATTTTGTCAAAAAGAACTGAGGAATATAAAAGAAAATTTGACTAAATTAAGATGACATAGTTTTGAATAAAGGCCTTGGTGTTTTAAATATGTTCTCTATTCTGAATAAGGACATCAGGAATACTTTGGTGGGAGTATCAGGGATCCATCTAAGGGCCTTGCACATAATATGCAAAGTGCTCTACACTCAGATGTAACAGAAGAAAAACTAAGGCAGGGGGATCATGAGTTTGAGGCCAGTCTAGGCTACAAAGTAAGTTCAAAGCTCCTGTCTCAGAAAACAACAAAACAGAACTATTCTTTAAAACTTGAAATGCGTATGAGCTGAGAAAATTTGGACAAAATGTGAGAAAGGACCCTCCCAACCCAAGGGTGTACAAGTTAAATGATTTGTAGTGTAAGTCATTTAACCCAGTCTGGTGTAGTAGGTTGATAGCCTGTGTCTGTGTTGTTCTCTGGTTCTCTGTGCCTTTCTTTTGCTAAACAATTATGTATGCCATTGAGGGTTTTCCTTTCAGGTGGAATGTATAGTTCTGCAAGGCTGTATTTACAGAGCAGTTCACCAGTTTTCATAGAAAAAAGAAAAACAGTTTAAATCAATAATCTGTCTTGTCTCCCTTGTTAAAATTGTATGGGATTAACTGTGTCTTATCTGTTTTATAATTACTATTTTCTTTGTAGGATTTTGCAGGTTGATTCCTCATACACGTTCACTGGGTACTTGGACGATATATTTTGAAGGTGCAGATTATGAAAGTCACCTTATGCGTGAGAACACAGAACTGGCAAGTATTTGAGGTTGGGGTAGATTAAAGTATGAGATGTTCCTAATGACTTGGGAGGGGTGATCTGTTTTATTCTTTGCATACATGGAATGTTGTAATGGAAATTTTTAAAATGATTTTCTAATACCAATTTGATTCAAACATTTTAAAACCTTGATTCGTAAAAACACATGTATTTTACTCCCTGAGCCAGGTCTGTACAGTTTTGTGTAGTACTAAATGGTTCTGTAGCAATAAAGAATATTTATGGTCACAGTTATGGCAGCCTACATACATATTTTTGAAACATATTAGTATAATAACTTTGAAAGATTTTATTAGAAAAATATTTTTAGTGGCAAAAACATTTTATTCTTTTCTACTGATTTCTACCTAAATGTATATCAAATAATTCATAATTTTGAAATAGTAAGGAATTTCATTCATCTTAAGGAAAATCATAGTTTGCTTCAAATACAGAGTTTCAACAGATACATTTTTATATAGTGTATATATTTATATAAAATTTTAAATTTAAACAAATGTATATCAAATAATTCATAATTTTGAAATAGTAAGGAATTTTATTCATTTTAAGGAAAATTATACTTTGCTTCAAATAGTTTCAACAGATACTTTTTTATATAGTGTATATATTTATATAAAATTTTAAATTTAAACATGTATCAGAGTCATCTCCTAAAATTGAATTGATAGTTGTCATTATACTAAATATATGGGCTCACTACTAACAAAGTGACCGGGTTTTTTTTTTTTTTTTTTTTTTTTTTTTTTTTTTTTAATTGACTGCCTTTGTTTGTTTTTGGTCAAATTTAAAGTAACAGTGTCCACTTCTGATGACCAGATTTTTGTAGGAAATCAAGTATTTCTTGGATTCATTAATTGTTCATCTTTCAGATTTATTCTCAGATTCCTCAGGAGCTAGATCTCCAGTCTTAATTTATAGAAAACAAAAATTTTAATGTCATATAATTTTATTTTTTCCTTGATATTCTCTCCTGGGCTGGGCCTTATAGTTAGTTGCTTTCTGTTTAATCACTATTAAGTTTTCTCTCAGTGTACATTCAGTGTTCATTCTTGTGTAACCTTGCTCACACTTTAGTGTGAAGTTTGGCAAGAGTGTAATATGTGACTTAAATAATGCTTTCCTTAAAAAACCGCCGGGTGGTGGTGGCACACTCCTTTAATCCCAGCACTCGGGAGGCAGAGGCAGGTGGATCTCTGTGAGTTCTAGGCCAGCCTGGGCTACAGAGCAAGATCCAGGACAGACAGACACCAAAACTACACAGAGAAAAAAAAAAAAAAAATTGCTTTCGAGTCTGTCCATGCCCTGGCTGCCTCCTTTGCTCGACTGTGCTCAATCCTTTGCATTTCTTGACAGAGTACTGGGAATACTACTGATGTATCCTGTAGTTCTTTATGTTCACCATTTTAAATAAAATGTGCAGTTTCTCAAGAGAGGAAGATAATAGTTCATCTCTGTTACAACCATTTTCTGCTATTTTCCCAGACAGTGTGAAATAATTTTAAACTTTTTCTTTGGAAAATGAAATAAAAGGTTAACAGTTTATTTTAAAAGATCATAAAGGTAAAAATTGGGCTTTGTTTTTATGGTTGTGTTTTCTAACCTGATAGAAATGTAAGCTTAATTTCGTTTCGTAAATTAAATTCTTAATATTTAAATGGCATTTGTAACTGATTCATCTTCTAGACTTTAGTCAAATGATGCAGTGTTTTGTTTAGCAAATGAAAAGTACCTGAGGTAGTAGACTTTTTATATTATTGCAGATTAACTAGCTTTCTAACCATGTGAAAGCACTTCCATTTTAGTGATAAAATGAGCCTCTTTTCTCATCTTTAGGCCCAGCCTCTGAGGAAGGAGCCTGAGATAATCACTGTGACCCTAAAAAAGCAGAATGGAATGGGCCTCAGCATTGTTGCAGCGAAGGTAAGACTGAGGGAGCTCTGGAGAGCATCTTCTCCCATCCGTGACTGTGAGTCAGCATGGACCAGAAGTGATGGGAGCCTTGTTGCCTTGCAGAGTACACGTTCAGCTTTGCTTCTGGGAAAAGGGAACATGCTGCCTGAGGGATGAGCTCCTTCTCTGAGAACGTGGCTAGAGTGAATGATAACTTGAGATGGAGTAGATGCTCAGATGAAGCTGTGACACGAATCTTTAAAGGTCTTACTAATAAAAAACCCAGAATCAGATACTGAGGTAAAAGCTGAAAGGTCAGAGGATAGAACATGTCACAGCCACCAGCTATTACCTCACCAACTCCACGAATCCTCTGACTGAAATCCTCAGCCTCCAGAGAGAGCTACTTCCTGTGTACTCACGCCAAATACCTTTCTGTGCCCTGCCATCTTACTCCCTCTCTCCACCCAGCTACATCACTTCCCCTTTTTGCCCAGCTCTATCACTTCCTGTCTGTCTGTACAGACCTCCAGACCTCTATGGTTAACTAGTGCTGGGATTAAAGGCACGTGCTACTACTGCGCCTGGCTCTGTTCCCAGTGTGGCCATGAACTCACAGAGATCCAGATGAATCTCTGCCTCCCGAGTGATAGGATTAAAGGCGTGTGCCACCAGTGCCTGACCTCTATGTTTGATATAGTGGCTGGCTTTTTCCTTTGACCCCAGATAAGCTTTATTTGTTAGAACACAAATAAAATATCACCACAAGAAGCAGTTTAAAGGATGGTCAAGACTTGTTGGGCACCGTGGGAAAAGCAAGTATGGCACAAGAGAAATAGTTGCATCTTTCACTTTGTCATAGCAGGTATCAGATCTTTTCAGCCTTCAGGGTATGGCAGTCATGGGGACCTAATAACACAGCCATTCTAATCTCTAGGTCTTCTCTACTGGAGGGTGGATTGGAGCTTAGCTTATGTGTGTATATCCATCTGAGGTGTTGACAGCTCCTCATCCTCCCTGTTCTCCTGGCATCTCAGTCCTATTAGTCTGTTAAAAGATAATTTTTTTCTTTCAGTTAAAAGAAAGTAATAGTATGACTAGAAGTTGTTATCTTTAAAAAAAAAAAAAAAAAAAAAGCTTCCACAATCATAGTCAAGTATTCTCAGTGGAACAAATGCTTTTTTTTTTTAATGAAAATTTTAAGTTAGCATACAAAGTAATGGGTTTGGTAAGTATGTCACTATATTTGGTTCCAAGTCATCCCCCCACCCCCACCCCATTGCTGATTTCTTGTGCCTTCACCCCACTCTGACTGGTTCTCTTCCCCAGGTCTCCCTCAGCATTCATATGCTATCACCTTCTCTTTTCCAAATATTATTTTTAGCTAGTATTTAATGACATGCTTGTTAAGCTGTGGTAATATTTTGCCTAAAATAATACTGATAGCTGAAATTGTTGACTGTGTCCTGTTTTAAGAGACTATGTGAAAAGCTTGGAAACACCATATAGCATTATGAAAGAAAAGCATTCCAAATTGCATGATGCCAGTGTATTCTGAGAAATGTTTTAAAATAGTAATAGTAAATTTTGTACATCAGAATTCTGTTATACTGAATATTAATTAGAAATTGATATTTGAAACCACATTATTCCCATTGTGGTGTTTTAAAGGTTGCATTAAGTCCCTTACTCTTGCCCACTGATTTACGTACCGTGCACATGGCATCAGGTATAGGGTCCCACTATGATGTCAGCATTGCACCATGTAAAATAATGAGGAACTCGCCAAAGTCATGGCTCTTGACTGGGAGCAGATTGTAAGTACACAGGCCTTTCTAATATGGGATTCTTGTGTGTATCATTCCTTCCTGGATCTTTGCCCTTCATGCTCATTTTCAAAACTAGACATCAGGGCACATGCCTATAATCCCAGCATTCAGCAGGCAGAGGCAGGAAGGTGGAGTTCTAGACCAGCCTGGGATGCATAGTGCAACTGTTTCAAAAAACAAAGCAAAAAACCTAAAACACAAGGTTTATGGGTCCTGCCTCGCCAGCGTTTTCCTAGCAGCTCACCTGTCCTGTGCTGCTTGTCCTTGAGCCAAGGCAGATCCATCTGTGATGTCCTTTCTAGTACTTCAGAACTGCAGTTTGATCCTTAGGAGGTGTCTGTCATTGTCTATTAGCCAACTAATGTTTTTCTCTCTAGTGGTGTTCCCTAAGTCAGCCCGTGGGTTGTGACAGACAGAAGTAAGAGCTTGTTGTTTATTTGTTCTTTTAAAGCATGTGTGTTCTAGTTACCTTTCTGTCACTGTGATAAACACTGTGACCAACGCCAACTTGCAGCAGAGTGTATTTCATCTTAAGGTTGCAGTCTATCATCAAGGGAAGCCAGGGCGGGAACCACGGAGGACCACTGCTTAGTGCCTTCCTCTCAATGCTTGCTCAGTTTGTTTTCTACGTAACCCAGGACCACCTGCCCCCACAGACATACCTACACTCCAGTTTCATAAAGACAATTCCTAAATTGAAGTTCCCTTTCCCCAAATGGCTAGTTTGTGTCAAGTTGATAAAAACTAACCAGCAAAATGAGTCATTCATTTAATGAATTAATTTGTCAGTACACTAAATTGTCAACCGTGAAACTATATTTGAGCTTTTTAAAAGTTAAGAAATAAATAGATTAATGAACATGAAAGTAGTCATCTAAGCAGTTGTGGGATTTTAGCTGGTCCTTGGAATTAAGAAGTTAGAAACATGGCCCAACAGAGATATATTCTGGATAGACGTGGGGACACAAGCAGCGAAGAACAACCAGTGTTGTGTGTACCGTGTTTGAGCAGCCTGCATCTGCAAGGAGAGCCCACGGTGGTGGGGAGAGCCGTGCTGCGCTGCAGTGTGCAGAGTCGTGGGCTGAACGATAGAGGAGTCTTGCTGCCTTGCGGGCAACACAGCAAAATGAAGGGTTGGAAGGAGGAAAGGGCAGTGGTGTCTGAGACTGGGGCATGGCTGAGCAGAAGGGCCTGGAACTGTGGACAAGGCTGTTCAGGACAGACTGGAGGAACCTGTGTGTGTACCCACCACAGGTCCCTGAAGCTCAGGGTCTGTGGAATCACCTGTGATGGGCAGAGCAAAGATCCTGAGCCTCTGATCCTACTTTACTGTTCATCTCATGTGGCCCACATACAGCACACTTCTAGACCCAAGCTCAGAACATTAGGAAACATGAGAATGTCAACTATGGAACCATTTTCTTTCTTGGTTGTAGCTGAATAACTGCCCATTTCTAGAGGGGAAACAGAAGTTCAGAGGTCAGTCTGCCACACTCATACACAGGGAGGATTTAACTCCTGGGGTGAGTGTGGCTCAGTGGTGATGTATCTGCCCAGCACTTAGGAAGCTCTGCACTGACTCTTGTGTGCTGCAAAGGAGACAACAAGACAAAGAAACCTTAGGTTCTGTGTTACGTTGTGGACACAAGCTTTCTCTCTAATACTGATCTTACTGGAGAGTGACCATGATCAGAGTTACTGTTACTTCCAGTGCAGAATGACTTGTTTTCTCTAGACTCCAGTATGACTTAGGTTTTGATTTCCCTGGTATGGTGTCCTGATGCAAAGGTCCTAGTATTTCATAACACTAGGCTCAGGCTTCATCTTGCATCCTTGCCCAGTCTTGTATCCTCTGCCAGGTATCAGATAGAGAAATAGGACATCAAGCCAAGCTGAAAGTCATAGTCCAGCCTATGTTCCCTTAAACTTCATTTACAAGAACAGGTCTTGACTTATTGGTTCAGCCTTGTAAAGGTGGGTCTTGGCAGAATTGTATTTTTTACACTTATGGTGTAATATGATCACTGTTCTGCTGTGTGGAGTGGGGGTCGTAGGCTTTGATGGTTAATCTTTATTGTCACCTTGACTGGATTTAGAATCATGGAGAGAGAGACACCTGGATACCTTTGTGTTGCCTATGAGGATGTTTCCAGAGAGATTTAACTGAGAAGGGAATACCCACCTCTGTGGCTACATCATCCCATTGAGTGGGTTCCCAGACTGTACAAAAAAGGAAAAAGAAGGAATGAGTTGAGCACCAGCATTTATCTCTCTTTCTTCTTAAGGGTCAATATAGTGTGACCAACCATCTCATACTCCCACTGCCATACCCTCTCAACCATGGTGAACTTAATCCCTCAAACCATGAGACACAAACAAACCAAAAATTTATCTTTCAGTTGCTTTTACCAGGTACTTTCATTATGGCAGGAGAAAAGTAACTAATTGGCAAGTTTTCTGGACTCATCTCCCAGGGAAAGGTCCTAGTAGCTGGGTTGGCAGAAGGCAACCACTAACAGAAATAGAGGTACACTGAGGCCAGACCCCTGTAAGGGAACTTGTTTCCCTCCTGCCTTGTTGAAGGGTTGGTAGTCTCGGGGCCATGGTCAGTGCTGGCAGATCCTTGTTGGATAACAGTGTTCAGATGGGATGAGCCAAGTGTAACAGGTCAAAGGGGGAATACAGGAAGGAATCCTGGTTCAGACTTGAGCGGCTGGGGCCTGTAGGCAGGGCTGCCAAGAAAAGGAACCTGCAGAAGTTGGTGGAGGGGAGATTGTGAGTTCAGGATTGAACATGTCACACTTGAAGTTTTGGGAGCCTGGTAAGGTAAATGAATGTGTTTTCTAGCAGTGGCTTGGATAATGAAGCTCAAAGAGTTAAAGCCAAAGGGGCCAGGAGTGGTGGTGCATGGGTGTGGTGGTGCATGCCTTTAACTCCAGTGCTTGTGACAGAGGCATGCCAATCTCTTGAGTTTGAGGCCAGCCAGGTCTACAGAGTGACTTCCAGGACAGCCAAGGTTACACAGAGAAACCCTATCTTGAAACACAAACAAAAAGTTAGAGCCAGAGAAGAAACTTAGGAATTGATATATGGGCACTCTGAAGGAAATAGTTAAAAAAATTCTCTGTCAACTAGACAGTGCCATTTTAATATATGAAATAGTAGTGTATTAGCACTTGTTTTTTGAATGAGACAGATGAG